GGCGCTTGGGGGTCGGGGCGGGGGGCGCAGGCGAGTCCGGTCCCGTCTCGTCCTATCGGGAGCCGCGTGGCCGTGACTGACACGCGCTGCTACCCTGCGAGGACGTGCAGAGCTCTGCGGTGCGGATCTGCTCGGCCCGCGGGAGCAGCACTGGGGGAAGCCCTCGGCCCTACTCACCTGCCTCCTCACTTCAGGCTATAGCAGGCAGTGAGATGGAGGTTTCCCCGCGGCTCCGGGGGCACAGGCATAACAGGGGAGCAGCATAAGGGCTCCGTGAAGCCCTGCCCGCCTCACTTCCCCCAGGGATGGGGAGACTCCTGGCTCACTAGCACGAAGGCCAGAGGAAGTTTTCAGTTACATTAAGGAGGCAGACACAACAGAGCTTTTAAACAAAGACCTGCTTTACTGAACATCCACAGATGAGAACAACAACGTGGGAGTCTTGTCCAGCACTGCAAGCAAAGCTCAGGGTGGTCTCCTACAATCAGTCTCCTGCCACGGACTGGAGTCTGCTGCACTTATCAGATGCCTTTTCACGGCTGTTTTCCATTTTGGCAATCCGGGATCCAAACTGCATGGCCCTCTTGGGCAAAATGGTGGAGGCTGTGAGGCCGAGCTCCTTAGCCGCCAGACGCAGAAGGAATTTCTCACCAATTCCTCGTGGCAGAGCCAAGTTTGCTTTTTCTGAAATGGGCAGAGAGTTGAGGAAGGAGACAACATCTTCATCAAGGAAGGGAAACCTAGAAAGAGAATATAATGAAAAACTATTAGGTCAACAGGTTTTGAGATAGATAAATCCACATGTAATGGAAGGGACAGAAACTCAGTTCAGAATTATATTGGTCCTTGTAAACAACTATTTTCCAAAGTGTCACAACCCAAGGGTGTGATTTTTGTTTTGTGAGTGCTTGAGCACTGCTAAATTGTTCCCACTAAATTGCAGCTTCTTTGCACGGTGGAGTTTTCTGCTGCAAAAGAGAACCCTGGTGCAAAAGAATTCCCGCCACCAGTAGCTTTCTTTGCAGGGTGCATTTCTTTGTTGCAGCACAGAAATGCACGTTGCAAAGAGTTCCCGCCATTTGTATTATAATTCGAGCCCCATTATTGGCTTTCGTGAAATTATTCACACGTGGCAGGCAGTGCTTTGGCACGCGTGGCAGCTAGTGATTGGCTTGCTAGCCGTATAAAAAGCTTGAGTGGTTTCCACCCAAGTTGGAGGACTCTACGAACACCAGGAGGAGGAGACGTCACACTGTGTGAAGATCTCTAAGCGCTGCGGAGCCTATTGGACCCAGCGCATTTCAAGCAGGCAACAGGGGTCTGATCAGCCTCTAGCCTCTTCCCATCGCCGAGCGCAATCCTCGACGTATCCCTCTTCCCTGTGCGCACAAGTTCCACGGAGCCTAGCAAACTTCGTGTGAGTCTATTCGGAGCTCTTCACTTCGAATACTTTCTTCGGTTGGCGCGACGGGCTCGCAGTTTAGAGCCTCCAACCGGATGGGCTAGAAGAATGTTCACGGGAAGGAACTCTAGTCCGCCTCTCTTCTTTTCTATCTGTAACTGCAACTCAAGCAAGTTTTCCTGCCTGCACCGCGACCATCTTCGGTGTAAGTAAACAATCTTAAACAACCATTAAGCATCCGTGCCTAATTCTAGCGTGTCGCCCGTTTTCTCTGACCCAGCGTGCCCGGGCTGCTGGCCACAGCCCGCGCAGAGCACAAAAAGGGCCTGGATCGCTCCCGGCCCGCACACAAAGAAATACCTATTCTGAGATCGTGCTAAAGGGGAAAAATGCTGAGGGGAATGGGAGGGGAAAAAATGCTGTTCCATTTTGGGGAATGGGAGAAAATGACCATGTGCTCACGTGCAACCTCACTTAAGCAACTGGAAATTTTAAAAGTTTCTCTCAGGAAAAAGAATTTTGTTTTCAGTAGAAAAAAATGACAAAAATCCTGGGGGTTGGTTTATTTTTACATGCTGCTTTCCATCAAAAAAATAAAGGAAAGAGAAAACAGAAAGCATTGTGTAGAACATAACACTTTCAAGATCAGAGGCTCTTAAAATGTTAAGCTACTATAAAACGGAATAGCAATTTCCACAGTTCAAGTAATAAAATCTTTACGCTGGAAATTCTGTGGTATCATTCCTGAAAGGAAAAAGAGGAAAAAATATACTTGCTGGAGGAAAAACTCCTTGGGTCAGAAAAGTCTACTGCCGTTGGGTATTGCACAAATATTTCATGTTTAACATAAATTTATAAATCAACAGGTTACTTCCCTCTCCCCGCAAAATACTGTATAGAGCAGGGGTGGCCAACCTGTGGCTCTGGAGCCACATGCAGCTCTTCAGAAGTTAATATGCGTCTCCTTGAATCTTTGCACAAGCACACAGTGACCAGCTTCCAAATAGAAACTGGTCACCGTGTGCTTGTGCAAAAATTCAAGGAGATGCATACTAACTTCTGAAGAGACGCATGTAGCTCTGGAGCCACAGGTTGGTCACCCGATACAGAGGGCATGTCTACACAAGATGCTACAGCGCCATAGCATCTGTTGGCAAAAACCATGATGCCGCTGGTATAACTCTGTAGCAATGTGTTCCCTTGTTATAGCGTGTTGCTACAGCGACATAGCAGCTAAAAATAACGGTGCATGGCCAGCACAGCGCCGTATGGACCGTTACTGTGCTGTCATTTAGTACTTTCCAAAAGGAAGTACTAAAGTACAAAAGGAAGTACGGCCATGTGTAGACGCACCCATTTTCTACTAAATCACAAATTCATATGATTGGTATCCTACAAGCAGGTTTACAATTTATATATAGGAAGATATTCTGCATTAGATGTCTGCACTGGGAAAACACCTACGCTTCTCAACTCAAACGGTGGACTTACGAGGTGGAACAGACAGACATGGAGGTGGATTTTTAATTTTGGGATGGGTGAACGGAAGAGGGAGGGAAAATTCAAGAGAAATTACTCAATCCAAGATATACAGATCTAATAGCCAGAAACCCCACAGGAAGCACCCAGCAGAATAGCAGCAATTACATATACCGAAATAAGGAGCTTATGCACTGAAATCCTGCAGCCTTCCTAATGACAGGAATACATTCTTCTACTTTCAAAAGTCAATGCTTCCGATACAAAATCAGGTTATTTAGAATAAATGATGCCTTTAAAATTACTGTTAATTTAAGTTTTCCTATTTTCCTGCTGTGCTTTCAGTTTGATCTTTGCTGCAGTTTGGTAAGAGCTGTGAAAAGTGTATGCCTGAGCTTAACTCCAGCTAAATACATCCACGGACATATCATTATACAAACCCAAGAGGAAAATTTGAGGGGTAATGTACTTTTTTTTTTTGTATATAAATGTTTGTACACACAGTGCTAAATCTATTTTTTTAAATGTGAAAACTATTTGGATTTATATATTCTTGTGCAGTGAAAAATGGACTTCAGAGTTGTAACATTTTGATTCATGATAAAACAGAGCTACCTTGCTTCTTTTCCGTGATCTCCAATAATCCTATCATCTCGGCCAAGATTTCTAGAGGAAATACGGCCCAGTTCCATTCCTAGTTCTTTAATCAGACCCTCTAAACCATATTTTTTAAAACAAACACGATGTCGGGAATAGCCTGCAAGCTGCTCATCTGCTCCAATTCCTGTAAGCACAACCTACAAAACAGCATAAAAAGACATCTCTTAATATTTACCTAGAAGTCTTAATAAAAGGGGAAAATGGTTATAGATTGCAAATATTTATCCATAAAATAATATGAAAATGAACCTAATACTAACCTTTTAACATGCGTAGACTAAAATGATAGAATGTACCTGGGCGTACCATCTATTTATAAAACAACATATTGCTTCCATTGAATCATTGGGAGCCTTTAAAATTAAATAGGTGTCTGATGAGATCTGAAAAGTACACAAACGTATCAAATTGTTCTGAATATTCTACCAACATTATGCACAACTATTACAGTGCAGCACATCAGTGTTGCATATCTTGAAATAACTTGCTTCTGATGGTGGCCTGTCAAGTTCAGAAATCTGTTAACTGGTCACTTGTGGGGGACTATTTTTATATCAGGTATGCATCAATCTACTGCAAATATACTATAGTTTGCTTTACAGTTCCAGAGAATGTAGGTATCTTATCTTTATTTCTAGCTCTTGAAACTGAATTGCATATTTATGAATAAAACCATAAACCAAAGAACCCTATACCTTTGCAGAACTTTTATATGGTTTCAGATCTCCCTGGTTAGTAATAAAACCTTCTCCTCTGGAAGCAAACCAAACTGCACAGCCAATGCTGTCATCCAAAACAGTATCCAACGGGTAAACTAAATGGCTTATGTGCTGTTGTCTCATTCTTTTCAATTCCTCAAGTGTAACATTAATCTCCACAAAATTCCAAGTTCTCGAAGGATTAATCATCTCCAGTTCTTTCAGTCCAGTCCTGCCAGTGATTCTGTCAGGAACACTGAAGCAAGACAAGCTATCACTACTTTTGATATCAAGTTCTTTACAGTTTTCCTGACAAGCAAGCAATTCAAGTTGGTTTTTCTGGTTTTCATGTTTTTTGCTGGCACCCTTGGATTCTGTACGTTCTTTACTCATGAAGGCTACGTTGAGCAGATCAATTGGTTCCTCCAAAGGAATATGTCGATCAGTTAGAACTGCAATAAGCATGGAATCAATACCACCAGAAAAGAGTACTGCAACATGTGCTTTCCTCGCAGATACACTCTGAATTTCTCTCTTTAGCTGATCAGTTTCTCTAAACAGACATAAAACACGTCTCTTTACTGCTTCACTTAAAACACCTATGAGCTGATGGGCCAATTTTTTCTTGTGATCTTCTGCAAGAAATCTCTGAAGGTTTTCTACAGAAACTGAATCGCTGTAACAATTAGTGCAATGACATTCAGTTTTAATTTCAGGAACTGTTCTATTTAAAGGAATAACTGGTGCTACTAAGCAGAATTTTGGTTCACTCATTGCAAGAGAGATGTAGGTTGGCAAATCTTTTGAAATCTGATCCAGGCCATCCTTGAATGTTTCTTCTGTTGCATTCTCTTGGAATCTGTATTTCCAAGGATACAATATTAAAGTTAAAGATTTAGTTGCAGCACAGGCCTTGAGATCAATTTTGAAAATTCCAGATGCTGGGACTTCTTGCCATTGATTGTCAGATCCAGAAAGAGCACTTACAGAACTGAGACAGAGAGCCTTTTCAAGCCCATTATTAAACTGCCAGAGCAAGCTACGGCGACCAAAATAATCCCTACCAAACCACAAGGAGTGTGTGGATGCCTGGTAATAAATAAAAGACCATGGGCCCTGAACAGATGAAAAGAGTGACAAAACGTCAGATTCATTATTGCATGATGCGAGATGATGAAACATAATTTTAGTGTCATTCTCTGTGGTTCCCACATGAATTCCATTGAAGACTTCTCCATTCCAAAGAAACACATTGTTATTGGTGTCTTCCAGAGGCTGGGGAGTTGTCAGTCCCCTCATGTGAAGCACGTGGCCAGAAAATAAACATTGATAAAAGAGATCAGACTCAGTCTTTATCAGCTGTTGGCTGCAGTTTGGCCCTCTTCTTCTAAGGCTGCATAACAGATCTTCTTTAAAGAAGTTACCAATGGTATGTTGAATAGACAAGCTGATGACACAACAAATGCCGCACATTGCCAAACAGAATTTGAAGCAGCTATTTCTTGATTTTAGACTTCTCTGAATTTTCTATCTCCTGATGTGCTTTCTTCAGCTCATCTAGTTTGTCTGCATACATGGAAAAAAGGAAATAAGTGAACAATGAAAATTCCTTCAATAAAATTAGATAAACATTATAGAATAATGACTTGAAAGAAAACCTGATAAATCAGCAACTACAGCTATTAGTCTAATCCATGCAAATGTTAAGATACACAACTTTTAACACTGTATGCTGAAATGTGTCTAAATAGCAACAAATTAATAATGTGCCACACACTGGTATGATGACATAAAACAGTCTTCTGCAACATTTTCCCATTAAGTGATACTTGCATTTTAATTTATGTTAAAAAAACCCACTGTTATATCAGAACTTGATGAATTCCCAATATCACAGGAATTCCCTTCACAGAACTGGGCACATTCTAATAGGAATGTAAATATCATTAAAAAAAATTACCTGCTTAACCTCTTCCACTTACATCGGTTAAACAGTTAACCGATAGCTCATGCCCAGTTTAGTGACATCCAGCAGTAATGGCCCTGACCCCAGCCCCAGCCCCTTATGTCTTCATTCTGTGCCTATGCCTGAGTAGCAGGTGCAGCTGAGCCACTAGGGGGCACTGTTGCAGCCCTAACACTCCCCAGGGATCCCTTCTGTATTGCCCTGCTGTACCACCACTCCTCAGGAATACCCTCAGGCTGCACTCACCCCAGGAGGGGCCAGTGGCAACCTCTCAGATGCAGCACTGCTTGCTCCAGCTGCCATGGTGCCTCCTGAGGCTTAGCCAGCTGTACACTCAGCCCTTCCTCAGTGCTGGACCAGACCCTGTGCGGCCCCAATGCTATGGGCGGGAAGGGGAAGGATGTAATGCACCTGGTGGAGGCTGCCACACTGGGACCAGACCTCCTCTTCCCCCAGGTTGAGCTGGGGAGGGCCTGGCAGCACAGAGAAGCCTTCCAGGGCCCCATCACTCCAGGGGGACCAGGCAGACTCACCATGGGGCCAGAAGTCTTGCTGCTGCAGTGGAAAGGCCCTGCTTGACTTAATGGGGACCTGGTATATCCCTCTCTCCCTCCCCATGGTGGTGGGATCTAGGCATAGGAGAGGTCCACAGCCCCAGCTCCATCCCCTGCCCATGGGGGCGAAGGGAAGTCATGCCTCTGCAGCTGGGCAGCATCCCCTAGTGGCTCAGCTGCACCTGCCACCTCCTGCCTGCAGCTCCCCGCCAGTGGCCTGGGGCCCACGCAGC